CTCATTATTTTTCTTCTTTTTTTTTTTTTTTCTAAATCTTTTTTTCAGACAGGGTCTCCTTGTAGTCCCAGCTGGCCTGGAACTTGGTATGTAGACCAGGCTAGCCTTGAACTCACAGAGATCTGTCTGCCTCTGCCTCCCAAGTGTTAGGATTAAAGGCGTGCACCACCATGCCCAGCTCTTCTCATTATTTCTAAACATACAGTATACCATTTACTTAGTACTTAACACTGGATTAAGTATTACAAGCAATCTAAAGTTAATTTAAAGTATTTCAAGCAGCTATGCTTATGTTATATGCCAGTACTGTGCCATTTTACATAAGAGAATTGACCATCCATGGAAGGGATTGGAATAATCCTTCACAGATACCAAGTTACAACTGTATGAAAATTATTTTAAGAAAAATTTTAAATTTTAATTCCTAATAAAAGAACAATATCAGTAACTTACATAAACCCAAACTCTTAAGGATTCTCAATAATTTGTAGAAGTATTGAGATTCTAAGATCAAAAAAAAAAATCAAATAATTTGGGGGCTGTTACAGTTTCTCATAATCATACCTTATAACAGAGTGACTCCTTCAACTTGCAAATGAAATGTATTAGGCACCCTGTCCCATAGTAAATTGGTTCCTTTTATCAATGGCTCGATTTACAGCTAAGTTTTCAATAGGCAAAAGTGGTATGCATTCAGTAGAAACTATACTTCTGACCACTTCTTCAACCAGTAATCCAAAGTATGATACTTCACAGGAGCCACAGAAAAGAATGATGACAATAAGCAATACAGTGAACTGGGTTGCCAGGTTTTTGAATACAGCAGGTATTCAATAAATTACATAACACCTGTCTTTAAAAAAAAAAAAAGGATTTGTAGGGATAGAGAAATGGCTCAGTGGTAAAGAGCACAGGCTACTCTTGGAGAAAACCTGGGTTTGATTCCCAGCACCCACATAGCTACTAACAACCATCCATAACTCCAATTTAATAACGCTCTCTTCTGGCCTCAGTGGGCATTGTATGCATGTATGTACTGATATTAAAATAATTTTTGTCTTGCAGGATTAATAAATGTTCTGAGCATAATGAAGGTGGTCTAGGCTAAGCCATGGTGCTTGGTGGGTGTGGTGTTTTAAATTCATTCTTGATTTAGATTCAGTTATGATTTAAGTTTATCCATGTGTAAACCCATCATAACTGAGAAGCATCTGTACTTTCCATTTTCCTATTCCCTCACTGTAATAGTCATTAGTCATAACTTCATGATGCTGTTGATTGCCTTTCTCAACCCTTCTAGCACAACCAAAAGCCAAGAAACTGCTCTCTAAGCACAAAAATCAATGGACTCTACATAAGGATGTCCCTATGAATAAGCTCCATAGGCGTTGTTATACTTATTTTGATTTTATAGATGTCACTTTTTTGTTTTCTAGGGTTTTTAAAACATATACCTAAATTCACAGGTGGATAAATGACCTCCAAATGAGAACTGTATTTATTTTTAGATAATTTTTAGATATCATTTTCCATTGTTTCACATGCAATTATTTATAAATTATGGTTAAGACCTTCACCCAGCAGTGCCTGGAACAAAATCTGAAGTAACAAGAATAGTGTGTGACAGGGTTCCAATGCAATTATAGATCAAGAAGAAAGGATATATAACAATCCGAAAAGATTAATTCCAGAAGTAATAAAGTTGGTTAAAGAAAATGGAGGAAACAGTATAGAAACAAAATAACAGACTAATAAATATTGAATTAAAATATTGCCATGTACATGAAATTGGGACAGATATGCAGGATTAAATGAGGTTAATTAAATAAATTTTTCTGTTTCAAGTTTCAAACTCTTTTGGGCAATGATAATCATGGGCTGATGAAGTTTGAAAAGTGGCACAGCAAGATAGAACTAAATAATTGGTAAATGTGGAAAAATAGGAAAAGCAAATAAAGCTAACTACAAGAAAGAAAGAAAGAAAGAAAGAAAGAAAGAAAAAAAGAAAGAAAGAAAGAAAGAAAGAAAGAAAGAAAGAAAGAGAAAGAAAGAAAGAAAGAGAAAGAAAGAAAAAGAAAGAGGAAGGAAGGAGAGAAAGAAAAAGAAAGAGAGGAAGGAAGGAAGGAAGACACAAAGATAGAAAACTAAAGGAATTAAAAGAGAAAGTTGAATGACAACTTTTTTATTAGGAAACCAAACACAGAGGAGAAAGTTAAAATGTAAATCTGAAAACTGGAAGTCTACAAAGAGTGACAATATCTAGGAATGAGAAAATAATGTGAGGGAGGAAAATCACAGGTGTTTCAACAACAAACAAAACATAACAAAGAAATGGATGAGTAAGAGTCAAAATCAAATTGCAAGCAACAAAGTAGGTATATTTAAAGAGAATCTAAATTCTAAATAAGCAGCAATTATAAAGAAGGAAATTAGTGTTATCCAACATCACTAAAATTGTTTAGTCCCGAACATTTTATAAGTAATGCCATAATCTAGTTCTACAAGAGCAGCTTAAACTAAAAATCATTTTAATCGATAAGCAATTATTTCACATAAACACCTAAATAGCTAATTTTCTGAAATGTTAAAGTGTTTCTTAGCAGACACTGTTTACTACCAAGAGCTCAATATCAAAAATATTTAAAATAGCCAAATCTCATGATACATGCAAAATGCCTCTATTATTATCGTTCAAGAAACAGCACACAATAAACATTCTGTTTCCATATTTGAACCTCTCTAAGCTTTCTATATGTGAAGTTCACAATAGCTTGGTCTTAAATGGCAAGGAGACTTCCTAATACTTGAATTAGGTGAGTCTCTAAAAACTCATAATTACTTTTAATAACAAGCTTTCATGTAATATAAGCAAACATTTTCAAAGTGCTTTATTTGCCAATTTAATCTAGGGAAAAAACCTCCCTCACATAATCCTGAAAATATTATATAATTTTGAAAGCACTTACAGATATTTTAAGTGATTATCTTTTCAAACCTTTGTTGTATTTTAAACAAGACTTTTAAAATATTTAGTTTGACAATAGTTTAAAAACCTAAAATTCATTAAGCCTATGTAGTGCTAAGCTAATGTAACTCAGTGAACTGCAAAGTAACTAATACTTTGTTGGGAGAAAAACAAGGAATCAAAGGTGAGCAAAAATTTTTGGACATGTCACTTTTAAAATGTCACAATCTAAACATACTACTCTTTCTTTAAGGAAAAATCAACTTTTAAAAGGTGTGGGGGGGGGGTGTTAGTCATTTTCAAGTGCTATAATACCTTATATAAAATTCACTAACATGAAAACATCCTGCAAAGTGTTAACGCTCTGTAAAAGACTTGCTCTATTAAGGCTTTGTTGCTCTGAGGCCAAGTATAAGCCATAAAAGGAAACTGAAGTTCAATGTCATTTATTTTGTTCCCCTCTTTCAGATGCCCAAGAATAACCTCTTTTGCCACCTAATTATATGTTCCGAAATCATATACTGGACCAGTTATGAATTTAAATTCATTGGTAAAGCTAGTTTAACTTAACAGGAATTACTTGATGGTTCACAAGTCCTACCAATAAAAAATAAATAAAAATGAAAACAAAACTCTGGAGACCAGGCCCTAACAACAAAACGATATATAATAAACACTCAAATCTCTTTCTGAAATGTACTCAATAAAGGTGAAACAGCAAAGAACAAGTTGTGAAATAATTTGAACCTGATCTTTAAAACCTACGTTTCTCAACTCTCTTTCCTTAGGTTTCTGGCAATTACTTTCGCATTTGATTAAGTATCCATTTAAGCCTAAGGTATACATGCCTTTATAATGCCGTATTTACTTTAATATTTATGCAAAAATACAGCATTATCCGTCACCCGCCTTTATCATAAAAGCACTGGGGGGAAAATACTAAACTTAAAAAAACAGACAACGAAAAACTATTGGCGGAAGAAAAAAAAAGTCTAGGTTGGCTGCAACCAAAACTTAGTTTCATCTATGTAGTCGACCTAGATGAGAAGCGTTCATAATTCTGACTGGTAGAATGTCTGCCATGCTTCAGAATTCCTGCCCGCACAGTCCGTACCTAACACTAGGCAGACTGAAACAAAAACAGATGGGCCAACATAAAAATATGAAGACCACACGACTGCAAAAAGCACAGCTTTCTACGACAATGTGACCCCCTTGAGAATCATCTTAAGCGTTTTATTTCCCTTTTCTTCCTATGTAATCTGAACTACACATAAGTCCTGACAAATCACCTACCTGCAGGTGTTTGGGGTTTTGTTTTGTTTTGTTTTGTGTGGCCATGCCCTTCTCGCTCTTTATACATAATCTTTACAACCTCATTTTGCTTCCTAATGCACCAGTTTCAACAACATACTTGTTTTCAATCAAGAAAAAGAACTATGGTTCAACCAAGTGATGAGCACTTAATGCTGGTACTAAGTGTCTAAAAAGAGCACATTACTACAACTAGTGCCTCACCCACCCTGATTATCAACTAAAAATGGAAGTTTCTAAAGTCCAAAGAAGTAAAAGTTTCCGAACAAAACCATCTCCATAGACCATTAAAGCGAAATCCCAAACAATCGGCACCAACATCAACAAATGTGGCAGCCATCTCGGTAAGAGCAAACCAGTCGCAGCAGCCCGACTTACTTTCTTCCAAAAACAAAGGTTGCGAGACTCGGCAATTTAGTACATAACATTGTGTACGTTCCGGAACACTAACACGTCTGGCCCCTATGCTGAACAAAGGCACTCTTTCTTCCGACGGTCGAAAACTTTTCGTCCCACCGCATTCTGACAATCCCTTCTTTAAAAGAAAGAATCCAGATGGCAGAAGGGGACACAAATCAGTTCCACTTAGTTACTAGCATATCAGCCACTCCAACAGCAGGGCAAGAATTGAGGGCAACTCGGGCGAAGAGAACAGGCTCACAGCACCGGGGTTTCCGGCCCACGAACTTCACGGCTGCTCGACGCTTCGGGTACAAATTACCTTTCGGAGTGGTTCAGGGCCGCCGTCCCGAGGCTCGGCTTGACATGATTCCCTTCCCTTCCCAGTCACTCCGGGTCCCGCCGAGTCTGCGGTGGATGTACAGCGGCCTCCCGCAGCCGAGATGGGCAGCACGGGAGGCCGGGAGTGCTGGGGAGCTTCCTGGTGCCGACTTCTGCTAGGACTTCCCCAGCCCCGACCAGCTCCTCCACCGAAGGAAAAAACTTTTCACTCGTGACACCGCCCGGAATTGCCGTGCGAAACTCACTTCCTGCCTGGGCGAAAAGCAGGATCCAGCTCCGTCCCGGGGAACCCGGAACAGCAGCGCGGCCCCGCGCGTTGCCGAGGGGGAGGGGCGGGCGCCCAACCCGAGCCGCGGGGCCACGCGCGGCC